TTTATATAGTTAATGTGATCATGAATGCTAATTATTACAGAACACACTATTTAAGTTGATCTATATTTTTTTTAATCATAAAAATTCAAAATGGCGGCTGCCATCAGACCTCACTCTGACTTTTAGAAGTAGAAGAGCAAATAAAGCGCTGTTCCTAGGATCTTGGTTTTCCATAATCGTAAAGTGGTTTCCTGTCGTGTTTTGATACACCACGTCCTACATTTTGTCCTATCTTGCTGACTTTTCATGTACTGTCAGCCAATATCTTGACCAGTGTTTAGTATGTGTACAACATAAAATTTAATCCTTCTTGTTTGGTCAAAGTTACATACAAACAACAAATATTATGGAAGCATATGGCCACATAATAGTTTTCTTGTGCAGATAAGACGAGGCAAGATGAACGTTCAAACCGACAAGCAAATTATTTTTGCCAAACCTGAGTTTCAGTGGTAGGCAATGAATTCTAAAATTAAACACGTTTATTACAAAATAGAAAGATCATAGGAAAACTGAACCCCGATTCTTACCAATTTTTCCCCATGTACCCTTTCGTTTACATTTGCAACTTTTTGAAAATTCAAACAGAACACCTGAGCCCAGAATCTCTTTGGTGCATCTAAAGAAAAACCGATACAAGCTTATTTCTAGGGGAGAACATAAGAAGAGAAACCATTCGTCTAGCATTAAAGCGGCATGCAAGCTGCTTGCAAGCTCCCTAGTTTGCTTTTTGCGATTTTGTTAAATTAAGAATAATTCCGTGTGAACCGTATGATCTTGACTCGACCATAACCTGCTGAACCGCCATACCCCAAAATGATTGGAATGAAAATATCATTAATCGATTGTTTCATTTTCAAAATTAATTATCTGTGCTTTGAGTTTTCTTAAATCATTATTAATTGATAATATTATAATGTCAAAATTAAACAGACAAACAAACATGTCACAAAAGCTGTTACAAGCTCGACGCAGGTATCACAATATTTTGGTAACTTAAAAAGAATTCCGTATGAAATTACCCTAACGAACTTGACTCGACCATAACCAATTATGCAAGTTTCATGCTTATAAAAATCGTGCTATAAATTTAATTGACAGGTGTAAAAGCTAGGGAGACGAAAGATTCCAAAGGGATATTCAAACTAATAAGTCGAAAGAGAACGGAAAATTCCAAGGAAAAAAACGACAAAACGACAAAAAGAAAACAACAGTATACCAACGCAACATAGAAAAATAAAGACTGAGCAACACAAAACCCATCAAAACATAGAGGTTAAACACTTACGTCTTGCTATAATTTAAATAAACAAGAGGCTCCAAAGAACCTAAATCGCTCACCTGGTTAAAAACAATATGGCATTTTGATATTTATTATTTTCCCCTTCATTGCAATCAGTTATATAGTAATTCGTTAAACCAACTTTCAAGGACAATGACAATTTCGGCTAAGTTGACTTATTTATAGATCTTATTTTGCTGAACACGTTTGCTTATTACAATTTCTCTCTATCTATTATAGATTCTGCAAAAAATACAGGGCAATAACTCCAATAAGAAATCAATTAACGATTCATCCATGCTGACTTTCTTGTAAATCATATTTTTTTTCAAAATTTTTACTTGGAAAGATTCTTTTTATCAACTATAGTTTCCCCTAAAAATGCAAAAATGCTAAAAATCATCATTCAAAGCTAGCTTTAGAAGGAGGCATTTGACGATTTTTGCTAAGTTGACTTATTTGTAGATCTCATTGTCCTGAACATTTTCACTGCATAACATTTCTCTCTATCTATATAGTTTTCAAGATAATAACCAAAAACTGTGAAAAAAGACATTTCAGGGGAAAAGTCCGCAGGAGACAGACATTGACCTGCAAATCATTTTTTTCTCATGTCAAATTTGCTCTAGCTTCAGTTTTTGAGATTTAAAATAAACAATTACGACTACGGACGAATGGACGGATGGGAAGAAAATTGACGACGACGACGACGGACGTCAAGTGATGGCAAAAGCTCACATGGGCTTTTTGGCCAGATGAGCTAACAAAAATGACCGTAAGAAAAATATCAACAATTTATTGTCTCCATTCTAAAATTTTATTTGTAAATTCATCACTATACAAAGTACTTTATTTTAGCATTGGTGAAAATTTTGTTATCACACATTAACAATAATTTTCCTTCCATGCTCCTCGCAAATTTGTGTGATTTTGGTAACAAAAGAAGAATTCCGTGTGAACCGAATGAAATTGACTGGGTTCGTTGCAATTTCTTGTAGTCCGTCTTAGAAAATCATGCTGTTAATAAAAAAAATTGTTTGGAGTAATTTGGAGGGAAAAAAATAATTGAGTTTGAAATCTTAAGCAGTACACACTTTTATTACTCAAGTCACAAGATCCATGTGTCCTTTGATACTATCAATTACACGGTAGACCACGATTGGGTTCTTGTATATTCTCCTGTCTGACAGTAAGTAGTGATTACCCATTTTATCAAGGTATTACCGGTAATTAGTTACCTGTAAAGGTAATATATACAAACTTCACTCATTTCTTAGATAAACCAATCAACTTCTCAGTCGTATTTTTCCAATTATATACAATGTCAGTAAATGAGAGTCAACATCTTCCTAGGTTTATATCTTTAATTAAAAGGATGACTGATACCTGAACTGTATATATACACAGTTCATTAGTAAATGATTAGTTGTATCCTCCCCTGGGGACAAATTTTTTAGGATACGAAGAAAACTTAAAACAAATAAAAATAGCCAGATGAAAGGGACTTGGAACATAATGTGTTTGCCGTACAGAATGTCGATTTTGTGGTTGTAGGTCTACTGTATGCCTTGGGGTGCCATCAGCTTTGCTGGTTACCACCTTCCTGGAGCAGAAAGTTGTAGGTGTGTTTTGACTAACTCGTTCCAGTACGCCAATGTGAACATCCCTCTCCAGATCAGCATAAACTTTATCCTGGCAATGGATTGGAACCAGTGCTGGCTTGTTGACGGCTACCGGTTTGGCATTAGGATCAACATGGAGTTGGAGGGCTCACACTTCATAAGCGGTAATGGTTGATGTTCACAGACATTAAATGTAGCACCATAGTAATCGAGAAGCCACTCTTTAAGTGACTCCACATGTTCCTCGGTGACCTTCAAATCTAGAGGTAAAGTTGTGGGAATATGAGGTGGTTTAGGTCGACGTCTAGGACAAGAGCAGGTTACTTTTTCAGAGTTTTCCATAGAGGCAGCAATGTTTGGAGATATAACTGTTGTAACATTAGGGAAGTTAGTGTGAATAATCCACAGAGAGATGAGTGCTTCTCTGCAAATGAAAGCTCTTTCCATGGTATCAGAGACATAAAACAATAAACGTGCTGACATGGCGTTGCTAGCACTGTCTTTTGTTGTAACGCTTACTGCGATTGCTCCAATTACACCCAGTTCTTCCTTTATAGCTCCACGAATTATAAGCTTGATTGGAATGAGATTCTTTTCTGTTATTCCAAGGTTGTTTGCAGATTGTAAAGGTATGATTGAACTTTGGCACCCTGTATCAGCCACCATGGACATAGAGATCGTCTTAAACTTGGAGGTATCTTGCATGGGATTTCCAAACGATCCATGGTCCTCAGCTTGCAGGGGTGTCATGTTCACCAGAAGCATTGGGTGGGGTTTTGAGGGTCGTACCACTGTCCATCAAATATGTGATGTTCAAGACGTGATGCTTGGTTTGTCTGTTCTTATATGGTGCAAAGCTGCTCATAGATATAACCAACTAGCTCATGGTCTGTATCTTTGGTTGATCTCCCTTGATTGGGTGGGTTCCTGTGGCCCTTACCCTGAGCGTAGACTCTAGAAGATGCATCACGATGGCCCCATACTCCTTAGGCAGTGCACTTGCTACATGATTTGGTGTAATGAGCTTTAACTGTGCATTTGACACGGTCTTGGGGTCACTTAGCAGGTCAGACATAATTTCTGGGTCTGCAATACCTCTCACTAAATTGTCCTTGATGATCTCATCACTATAATCAAATATGTGGGTGCAACCTGCTTCTTTGCACGGGGCTTTATACTGGCAGAGTGATGCCTGGCCTCTTGAGACTAGCCAAAAACGTCCGGATACTTGATCCAGGTGATTGAGTCATTCTGTTCAATTTAATGCGTTGGACCAGTGTGCTCTCGTCTTCTTTGACAGCCAGTCTTTTGACAGCATTTAGAAGATCTGTCTCCATCATGTTGGTGACATCATCTTGGAAGTCACGCATGATGTCTGTACGAAGATTAGTGACACAGCAGTAGAAAAGGGCAGCGGGCAAGATATTGTCTGTGATCGCCATCCCTGTTTTATACATATTCCACCGTCTGGTGAATGCCGACCATTGGTCTGGATCACATCCTGCGGCTATAGTAGGTGGGTCCAATTTTAACCTGTGCGTTGCTGGTTGAGCCAGAGGTGGGTGGACGGTTCTGTCATGAATCTGAAGAGCAGTGGTTAGGGCAGCTGCAAATGCTTCATCTAGGTTCTGGAATTTCCACTCACAGCCATCTATAGGGCACTGTAGAACTGGCATATTGAGAAAGTAACTTTGTTTCAGCTGTTAGGTCATTAAGGTTTACCCTTGTCCGCCTGTACGTCCGTTCGTACGTCCCGAAATTGGTTTCCGTTCTATAACTTTAGTTTTCTTTGACCAAATGATATGAAACATATACACAAAGCTTATTACCCCACAAAACAGATCAAGTTCGAATTTAGGTGGCGTCACTTTTACAGTTCTTTTGTTATGTCCCTTTATAACGTTATATGCAAGCGGGGTATCATCTGTGTCCCATGGACACATTCTGCCTTTATTTTTTCAATCTATTTTAAAGTTTCTATGGCCAAAAATATACGACCCATTTTGATTCAAAATTAAATTTATATTTATAAATCAACACAAAAGCACTGAGTTAACCTATCTAGCGTTTGCAATTGTACGAGACAAAAGACTAACTAAACGTATTACTTTTAATACAAAAAAGGAATGACAACATTAATATTAATATAAATTTTTATAAGAGTTGATAACAATTGTGTTTCCATGTATGTATGTGTGTTTGTATGTATCAATCATTTTAATTTCATTCAATAATGCATTTTAGATATAATTAAAGTGGTTTAATTTTTGGATACGTTAAACAGATAAGCTTTTCCACAATTATTTTCAACTAATAACAGATTAGTTTCATTTCCAAAGTTAATTGACCATGGAGAATCTAAACCATCTCGAGTTGTTAACAGCTCCCTTTATTTTTGTCCATCTTGTGAGATAACTACGACATTCTTCGTCCCAAACCCTACAACATACACGTTACCACCATTGTCAGCAGATATTCCAGCTGGAAACTTCAAAACCTTTTCATTTTTGAATGTCCATTGTTGTGTTCCTTGAAGATCACAGCATACTACTTTATGATGACTATGAAAAGAATAATAAAGGTTGTGTCCAGATATTGCAATATTGATTGTTGTATCCATATTGTCAGTAGTTATGTCACGTGTTGATTGGTCAGTAAGATCCACTAATTGAATTCCTTTTTTTCTAATGTGATACAGCAGTATTTTATTTGTTCCCGCTATGCCAGTGGTTTTTCCACCCGGTTCAAAAGTTTTCTTTGGTTGTCGTTGCTTTAAATCAATTGTTGTTATTTTATTGCCAATTTCACCCCAGGAGGATGATATCGCTATAGTGTTATCTTCATTGTTGTATACTACACCATATGCTGCTGTTACACTCAAAGAAAAATCAACCGATCCGTCTTCTTTTACTACATCTACTTTGTTTAAAACAGGAAAGGTGAATACAACTCTACTATCAGGCAATATGCAACATCCCCTGACATAAGACGATTCAGTGCATATAGTTTGTTGCAACTGGATTTGTAAATTCTCAATGGGCACGGATATAGTTTTTGGTAGTATCAACTGAGCTTGTTGTTGCTTTTTCTTTGCAATATTTACTGAGACTCTGGAGTTGGCAATATCAATTTTTCCAAACACAACAACACTCTTTGCAATGTCTGTCAGTGATGTATTGATGTTAGACATGATTTCCACACGATTTAGCATATTACTCTCAGTAAGTGAATCAATGAACTGACATTTTTCAATAACACCAATTTCAAGTTCTTTTAGGGCTAGAAAGGTCTGTACATCGGATGCGTATTGTTTTATGTGTGTTATGTTTTTTTGGTGCTCTGCAACTTTACTTTCATGCTCATCTAAAGCTTTCAATAACTTACTTATTTTTTTGTTCTCTCTTTTTTCTATCTCATGCAATTCCGATATGAAATTCTCTTGCAGTTTATCTAGATGTTGATTGATATTTACTCGAACCTGTTGAATTTCACATTCGATCTGTTTTCTTTTTTCCAACAAGGTTTTTAGATTGTTATTTTTATCTTGACGGATCTGTTTGATGTTTTCAGCAACCTCATTTAATGTTTCATGAATTTCAAGAAAGGCGCTTGAGGTCTTTGTGTTTTTGACAACATCATCAAGATTGACAATATATTGACACTTCGTGTGTTTTTCAACGATGCATTTACTGCAACAGGGGCATTCATGTTCATTGCAATAAATTTGATATTTTTCATCGTGTTTACTACATATCTGCTTAATATTTGTAATGTAAGTAGGCAGATTTTGATATTCTGATATCGGTATAGTACCGTGCTTTCTTGTTGCCTTGGAAATCCCGTGATGCTTGCTGCAGTCCAAACATAGGCCTTCGTCGCAATCTGAACACCATATGGACGCAGGTTTGAAGACATGTTGATATTCACATACACCACATGAAGGTTCAGAGCTTGCCATCATCTAAACAAAAAATAATATGTCTGATATTATAGGTATGTCAAAAGATAAAAATTTTGATATTTCCTGCATTGGCAAACTTTTCAAAAGTAAGTTACTGTAAGTCAGTACATGTGCATTTCAAACTCCTGTATAAATTCAGTTTCCATAAACGTGTGATTATCACGCAATTTACCATGAAATGTATGCACACATGTTTGTCCAATTTATTGCATTAACAGTGTCGTTCAGTTGTAGTTTTGACACTAATTGAATGATGAACAAGAGTTTGGTTTCGCATGGTAGGCATGATTTAATATGGTTGACCTGGGATCTACTTCACCACAGGAAAGAGTCACATTGAATTTTAAAGCATTAATATTTATTAACGCATTTGATAATGATAAAAATTAAAACCACACAAAGCACTATCATGAATAGTTCTATCACATATTAAATTTTGTGGCATAACCCCCTACTCATAAAAAGTGTTTTAGGATGTGAGTTTTTGTCTAAGTAAATAAAATAAACAAAGGTCCACTTTAAGGTATAAATTTATTGTAATTGATATTTCAATTATTTGCATATGAAATCTCTTCAATGCAAAATCCCTATGAAAATGACCTATCCAAGCATACTTTCTGCCTGCCACCACCATGAAACAAATTTCATGGGAAACTACACTAAGCAACTTCTCCTTTGAAATAAGTGGACTAATTTTAAATATAATTAAAAACCATTGGTTCAGAGAACAATTGAAGGTCTTTCAACTTCTTACGATTCATTTTGATATGAAAATATTAAAAACGGTTTAAAGTGTCATATACAATGTCAAATGATACCTAAATGTACGCTGATTCCAAAAATATATGGTTTCTAAACCATTTTATTGAAATAAGGGAGATAATTTGTTACTTCCGGTCTGAAAAATGTCATTCCGGTATTATTTGATAGTTAACTTGACACTGATTCCAAATATATATGGTTCAATATACTTTAACATCAAATAAGTACAAAACAAAGCTACTTCCGGTTTACACAAAGTCATTTCCGGTTGGATTTTCAAGCTCATGTAAATTGCAACCTAATGAAAAGAGTCCAATGGCTTTATCGTGTCTAAATATGAAGTTAAAGCAAAGGTCAAAATCTAGAACGTCAATTTCAACTTTGACCTTGAGCTCAATTTCAAGGTCATAAACCAAGGACCTTTAATCAAATTACCCTAGGTCTTTATTATACTTGGTAAAAGAGTTATACCACCATACATGTAATTTTAAATATAAAAAGGGAGAAAACTCTCCTTTACGGTCAACGTACCATTTCAATCAAAATTTACGTGTTACGACATGTCGCAACTAACAATTTAGTAAAAATAATTTGTCGATATCTTATACGGTTTTTGGAAAGAAGTGAAAATAAGCCAAAATCAAAATTTAGAATATGACCTTGAACTTTGACCTTGACCTAATTTTCATTTTTTTGGACCAAGGACCTCAAATCAAGAGACCCTAGGTCTCTATCACTTATGGTTTACCAGTTAGAAATGCATATCACTTATATCAAATGCATAAGGGGGAATAACTATCATATGGAGTCTCCGGATAACTTCGATCCAAATGGTCATCCTAATTCTGAAGATTGTAACAAGCAATTTGATAAAATAAATTTGTCGTAAACTTTTACGGTTGTGAAGGAGTTGTGGCCACAAGAAAAACAGTGTTTGGGGAGATAACTCTTACAACATAAAGTGTTCAGTTAAGCAGTGTTAGTTTTAAAAGCGTATAAACTGTACGATATCTTATTCCAAATATATAAGCGACATCTTATAAAACAAGAACACAACGAAAGAAAAATTAGGCGGAAGTAAAAAAAATAAATTAAAAACCAATTGTTCAGAAGACAATTGAAGGTCTTTCCACCCATACAGATCTATTTTGATATAAAAATATTAAAATTCGGTTTAAAATGTCATTTCGAGCGTCAAATGATAGCTTATTGTACGCTGATTCCAAAAATATATGGTTTCTATACATTTTTTTTTAAATAAGGGAGATAATTTGTTACTTCCGGTTTGAATTTTGTTACTTCCGGTATAATTTGAATGTTTACTTGACACTGATTCCAAAAATATATGGTTCTATATACTTTTATATTAAATAAGTACAAAAAATAGCTACTTCCGGTTTACACGAGGTCACTTCCGGTTGGATTTTTCAAGGTCAAATGGCTTGCAACCTAATGCAAAAAGTCCCATGGCTTTATCATGTATACATATGAGGTAAAAGCAAAGGTCAAAATCTAGAACGTCAACTTTACCTATGACCTTGAGCTCAATTTCAAGGTCATAAACCAAGGACCTCAAATCAAAAGACCCTAGGTCTTAGTTATATATAGTTAATGAGTTATATCACCATACACGTATTTTTAAATACAAGAGGGGAGAAAACTCTAATTTAATGTTAGCGCACTCTTTAAACCAAAATGTATGTGTAACGACATGTCGCAACTAACAATTTAGTAATAATATGTTGTCGATATCTTATACGGTTTTTGAAAAGAAGTGAAAATAAGCCAAAATCAAAATTTAGAATATGACCTTGACCTTTGACCCTGACCAAATTTTCTTTTTTTTTTGGTCCAAGGACCTCAAATCAAAAGACCCTAGGTCTCTATCACTTATGGTTTACCAGTTAGAAATGCATATCACTTATATCAAATGCATAAGGGGAAATAACTCTCATATAGAGTCTCCGGAACGCTTCGGTGAAAACCAAACACAACATCCTGAAGATATAGCGAGCAATTTGGTAAAATAAGTTTGTCGTAATCTTTTATGGTTGCGAAGGGGTAGTGGACACAAGAAAAACAGTGTTTGAGGAGATAACTCTTACAACGGAAAGTCTTCGGTTCAACGGTGTCAGTTTTAAAAGCGTATAAACTGTTCGATATCATATACCAAATATCTAAGCAACATCATGCGAAACAACAATACCTCGCAAGAACAAAAATTAGGCGGAAGAAAAAAACAATAATAATCAGAACAAAATCAATAGGTCTTTCCACGGAAAAGTGGAAAGACCTACTTAAATCATCTAAAATGTGTTGGATTAAAATATAATATCAAATGTAATGTGTCATTGCTGACATTACTGGAGTGCTTAAGTTTACATTAGTCATTACTGGTGTTCAAATCACTGGATCACATAGTTTATCATTTAGAGTGATCAAATCATTTGAGATCATAGTTTAGCTTACTGGTGACGAAATCACTTGATCACATAGTTTTAACTTACTGGTGATGAATTCGCTAGGGAAGATAGTTTTACATAACGTGTTATCAAACCGCTAAAGAACATGCTTTTACATAACTGATGATCAAATCGTATGGAAAATAGTTATTCATTATGTGTGATAATATCGCTAGGGAACATAGTTTTACCTTAAGGGTGATCAAATCAGATTTACATTACTGATGTCCAAATCGTTGGAGGACATAATTTAACATTACTGGTTTTCATATCACTGGAGAACCTAGTTTTATATTTCTGGTATTCAAATCACTGGAAAATTTATTCTTAAATTACTGATATACTGATATCACAGAAGGATATAGCTTTACATTACTGGCGTTGCAATCACTGGAGATCATAGTTTTGCCTTACTGGCGTCCAACCCGCAGGTGAACATAACGTTTAAAACTCATCAAGGATACCAGACTTATATTTTAGTGCGTCAGAGACAGAGGATCGTTTCATCTTCGTATGACTCGTTTGAAATTAGTGTTGTTTAAATCCAAATTCAAATGATCTTGTATTCAAATCACTGAAGGCCATAACTTTACATTACTGGTGTTTAAATACTTGTGGACATAGTTATTCAAATCACTTGAGAACGAGGCAAAAAGTTTTACACTAGTGGTGATGAAATGCTGCAAGGTATACCTAGTATTAGAGAGGCAAAAGATACCAAAGGGTAATTGAAACTCATTAGTAGAAAATAAACTGACCATGCCATAGCAAAAAAAAACCGAAAAACGACGAAAAGACTAACATAAGTACATAAAACACAACTAGATAACTGAAGACTGAGCAACACGAGACCCACTAAATACCGTGGGTTATCTAATGTGCCCAGGAAACGTAAGCAGATCCTGCTCCACATGTGATACCCGTCGTGTTACACCTATAGAATATATTGAAAAATTATATAAAGTGATTAGGCAACACGCAATAGCAGATTGGTAATTGACTTTTATCTAACCCTAAGACATCACCAAATTAATTAAAAATCGGTCTTGTAGATTTTCTTACCCAATAACTTGACCGATTGTGAAATATTGATATTGAAAGACAAAAGACAAACAGTATAACAAATATGAAGAAGAGATATGATTGCCAATGAGACAACTCTCCACCAGAGACCAAATGACATAGAAGTTAACAATTATAGATCAACATACGGTCTTCAGTAATGAGCAAACACCATACCGCACAGTTAGTTATAAAAATACCTGAAATAAAAAAAATTAAAACAATTCATTCGAGAAAACTAACGGCCTGAAATATGTACAGAACAACAAAAACGATCATTAAATAGGATATACAGCACTAAACGACAACCACTGAATCATAGACTCCTAACTTGAGACAGGCACATACAGAATATGACGAAGTTAAACATGTTTGTTGGCACCAAACCCTCCCCTCACCTTGGACAGTGGTGTAACAGTACAACATAAGAACAAACTATAAAAATCAGTTGAAAAGGGCTTAACTGATCAAATCGATACAAAGCATGAGTATGTTGCATATCAGGGGCGCATAAAGCAAAGACTGTTATCGCTGTAAACACAGAAGACATTCAAACAATAAAAAGCACAAAGAAAAAAAAAAATTTAAAGCAAGAGCATATTAACCCCTTTTAAACAAAACTAGGGGGATCTCAGGTGCCCCGGAAGGATAAGCAGATCCTGGTCTAAATGTGGCACCCGCCGTAGTTTTTATAATACAAACTCGGTGAAAAGT